TATTTAGTTAATACGAAATGCATATTTGTTATATTTAAATTAAATATATAATGATGTTTATATAGTTAATATATGATGCATATTTAGTTAATTCATGATACATATTTAGTTCTTACGAAATGCATATTTAGTTTATGAACAGTGCATACCTATTTTATTTAAGATCCAATCATAACAATTTATTTGTGTTATTAAACAATTTAAATTTAAAATTAATTATATAATAAAAATCATTAATTATTATATTTTAATTTAATTGTATAAAATGCGTATTTTATTGCATATTTTCGTTGCATATTTAGTTCATTCATGATGCATATTTAGGTTGTAAAATGTGCATATTTAGTACATGAACAGTGCATACATAGTTGATATTATTGGTGCATATTTAGTTCACAAGGATAACATATATAATTCATTTCTGATGCATATTTAGTTCATATTAAGTGCATAGTACTGATGCATATTTACTTCATACACAATGTATACTAAGGGTCAACGGTCAATGTTGAAAGCCAACGATTTTTGTTGGAAGTCAACGCCGGAAGTCAACGGTCAACGCCGGAGTCAATGGTCAACGCCAGAGTCAATGGTCAATTGTCAAAATAATATTTGAATAATTAAAATAATAAAATAAAAAAATAAGTAATAAAAATAAAGAATTATTATTTAATTGAAGAGTAATTATAGCCACACCTAATGTATCAATCTAATGGTTAGGAATTAGTTTCACATTCACACTTTAAATATATGGACTCATTGGATCTAATCCATATATATTTTTCGGATATTGGCTGTAGCCTGTATGATTTGATTTGTTAAAACGTGCGTAGAGATACGCTCCAAGGCCATTTTCAACTATAACAATAAACATTAAGGCTATGTTTGGTTCAAAGGAGGGGAGGGGAGGGGAGGAAATTTAATGGAAGGGAGGGGAGGGGAGGGGAAGGGAGGGAAACTAATTTTACCTTGTTTGGAGGGATTTTGTAGGAGGGGAGGTGAAGGAAAATAATTAACCTTGTTTGGTTAGAAGATGAAAGGGGAGGGAAAATAAAATTATGTGGACAAATATACCCTTACTTATTATATAATATTATATTTACAAGATATAAAATTGGAGGGGCACATTATGTAATTATAATGAATTGAGAAGGACATATTAGTACAAAAACATAAAAGATTTAACTTCCCCTCCAAATTCCTCCAAAATTGGAGGGGACCTAATTTTCCCTTGGGTGGGAGAAAGGAGGGGAAAATTTTACTCCCCTTCCTTATCAAAAGTTGAACCAAACAGGGGAAAATAAAAATATTCCCTCCCCTCCCTTTCCCTCCCCTCTCATTCCCCCGAACCAAACACACGCTAAGGCTGTTTAGAGTAGATCTAAATAGCCATTTAAATTTAATTTTTTACTAAAAAATAGCATGGGAGAAATGTTATAATCCCGTTACGGAATCATTCTGTCGGGATTTATAACTTTTAGATCATCAGTAACCATCTTGGATAATTGATCTAACAGTTACGAATCCCGACGGAATAATTTCGTAATGGACCGTATAATCTCCCCATTTTATGATCTTTTAATGCAAGAACTTCAATAATGTACTTCCAACCAAGCCCAATTAAGTTTAATTTTTGTTTTTGGTGTTTTTGATCGAGTAATTTGCAAAATTGCACATCACTGTACCCTTAACTTTTCAATCCGTTTTATTTTTATTTATATTAATTTTCGCATTTTATTTTACATTAACATATACATTGTGTCTAGTCTAGAACATTAAAATAAGGTACACGATAATCGTATATACTAAATAATATAAATAAATATACCTTATTTAAGTTGGCTGGTCAATGCCTATCAAGTATCCAATGCAAGTGGCCGAGTATAGGGTAGATGGAAGATCTAACATGAGAGCCACGTGTATTACTTTGCCAACTACTAACATCATTTTCATTTTTTTAAGGTTTAATTGTCTATAAAACTCCAATTTCTAGTACAAACTCAACATTTGCTAATTTGCATAATTCACATATAAGTTTTTTTTTTTTTGTTTTTTGTTTTTTTTTT